CATGAAAGCATGAAGACATGTCAGAGATATATGTACATATTAATGAATATTTGACTATTTAATTTCCTTGACAATAGATTGTAAAAATTCGGCTGTTAATTCAATAGCCTTTTTATTTGTAATTGTGTCAAGAGAAGGATCTGCAAAAAGTAGAAAGTCTATCCTGTCTTCCTGTTTTCTATTATTAAAAGAGTTTAAATTAAAGGATGGCAGTCCCCCTAGTTCTCTGTGAAAATTGAGTCCTTGAATGTTAAAAAGAGGGCAATGGAGCAATAGGTGTTTGGTTGATTCAGTAGAGTGACCACATTTACATTTGGCATTTGGAATATTTTTGAAGTTATGTGTAAAAAGATGCTGCCTAAAAATGAGATCACATCTCGTTTTATTTAAGACAATTTCTTTATCTCTGGATAGGTTTAATCTTGGGGTTGTGAATTCTTTCTTTTTCCCATTCAAAAATGTTCTTATTTTATACTTAAATGAGTTGCGTGAGTGTGCTTGTTTCAGTTCATCAGGTAAATTATCCCATAATTTAATACTGGATAAAGCTGTAAACTTCCTAAGTTTAGCTGATGCTTTGAATGGGATCTTAAAATCATTGCTTCGTCGAAGTCTTTGGTGATTTACCTGATTCTTATACTGTTCAAAAACATTTGAAACATATGAAGGCATCTTATAATTATTTGCAAAGTCAAACATAAACACTAGTTTTTTTCTTTTCTTCGATTGGATAAGGATCTCCATCCAAGACATGCCATCACCTTCTCAGAGTTTGACCCTTGGATGCAACCACTTACAATAAGACCCGCTCTATATTGGACTCTATCTAAACTTGCTAAGAGGTTTAGATTTGCGCTGTCAAAAATAATATTGCCATATTCGAGATGTGGGAGAATGAATGCCATATAAATTGTCTGTAAGTGTTTTGATCTTTCTGAAAATTTGAGTGCTTTTAATGGATTTAACATTTTATTACACCTAGTAATCACTGAGTTAATGTGTTCTTCAAAGCTAAGGTGTTTGTCTAAAATGATGCTTAAATGTTTATGGCTATTTACAAGAGGTATTTGCGCATTATTCATTGTTACTGGAATTTCTTTCTTGACTTTTCGTGTGTGTTTAGATAGAAAGATAACCTCTTTACTCTTAGATGCCTTAAATTTGAGTTTCCATTTAGCGGACCAATTAGCCATTTCATTGATATCTGATTGAATATTTTGATTTGTTGCTTCAACTGATTCATTCTTTGGTACTGTCAAAAAGATGGAACTATCATCAGCATATAAGAAAAGTTTACAATTATGAACTGAGTCTGCTAAATCATTAATATATAGCAAAAATAAGAGGGGGCCGAGAATTGATCCTTGGGGAACCCCGCTATGCTATTTATTTCATAGGATCTGGAGTCTCGATTTTGAAGATTTTGAGGAATATTTGCACCAGCTTCAGCATTACATGAAATGTCTGAATAAGTATCATTGATCCTTACGTTTAATTTCCTATCTGTTAGATATGAGGTCAATAACTCTATAATATTGTTGCCTAATCCATAAGAATTCATCTTATCGAGTAACAAAAATGTGGGACTGCGTCAAATGCACCTTCCACGTCTAAAAAGATTCCACGGGTTGCGAGGTTAGAGTCAAAATTATCGGCTAACATATTAACAATAGAAAAAAGTTGATTCTGTGTATCATGTCCTGGTAAGAACCCGGACTGATTTTCATAAATGAGGTTCTTCGAGGAAACATGGTCAAAAATAGCTCTATAAATTATTCGTTCAAAGAGCTTTGAGAGATTATTGAGGAGGCAGATTGGTCTGTAGTTGGATGGGTCTGTTTTTGAATTTTTATTCTTATATATAGGAACAATTATACCCAGTTTCCAGCAATCAGGAAATGTATTAGTTTCCAAGAAAATAGTGAATAGTTTAACTAGTTCAACATCGATAGAGTCAGCCACAAGTTTCAACATTTTGTTAGTGATATTGTCTTCTCCACCTTTTTAGATGAATTAAGGTTCCGTAAGTTATCATTTATATTTTTTCGAGAAATATTTATGTAAGTCAAAGATTCATTTGTTTTCATAGGAGAGGGCGGCAATGACTTATCAATTATATTATGGTGGAACTTAGTCATGAACTTATTTAAAAAAGCATTTGCTTTTCCAAAGTCATCATCAATAATTTTATCATTTATCTCAAGAAGAGGAATTCCTGTAGAAAACTTGGTTCCTATAAGTTTCTTTATAATTGTCCAGTAGTTTAGGCCATTTGCTGCTTCTTCATCCAAGGTATTACAAAGTTTATCTTGATAGTTGTTCTTTGAGTCAGTAATTAATTTGGTAAGATATGCAAGTGAGTATCATGGCGTCAAAATTCAAAATGGCCGCAATTTTATATTTAAAATATATTCTTATATTATCTAAAATAACTTTTAGTTTGTAGTATGCACATCTATGATGAAATTTTATTTAATCTTCATGGAAAAAATGTTCGAAAAAAGGTCAATGGTCATCAATGGACAAATTTCTAGATGCATTAAAATCGAGAAATCCCTATGGTAACGTAACATGAAAAAATTATGGTCAGAACGCAATGACTATAACATGTCCCTAGTAGCCCCAAGGGCTCTTTGAAAGCCAATCAGCACGGTAGTTAATATTTTCAATCAAGAAGTCTTCAAGGAGTTAACTGTTGGAACTGTGGAGCAAGGAGCCTGATAAAACCCCAACATTTCATCAGATGTATGGGATTATCCCTGATTCCCTGATATATAGATAAAAATCAATTCAAGAGATCACGTCATGAGTAGAGAGCATAATTATGCACGTATTTGGAGTGCAAAGGGGAAATACTAAAACGAATTGTAACATAACTCAGAAAGAAAAGGAAAACATCTAAGTGTACATCATGTCAAAAACAATTTTTCACCCCCCTCCCAACCATTGTTTTAGGCAAACATTGTAACATTGCTGAAGTGAATGGTGTTTAAGTCAGGGTGGCCTACTCTTGCATATAAATATCAAGACGGAGTTATAAAAATACGATTCATTTTTAACATTGTTAGAAGATTTATAGTCCTCTTCTGGTTAAACACAAACTTGAACACAGACGGGCATAGCTAGAATTGATCAGAAATATATTTTTTAAACATTTTTCATCTTCCCCATGTTGAAGTATAGGGGCTGAGATCCCCGGTAATTCCCGGGTTTTGCCTTATTACATGGTTTATATTAAAACCATAATAATATAAACCATGTAATAAGGCAAACCCCGGGAATTGCCGGTGATCTCAGCCCCTATAATTAATTCTAAAATATATGTCTGATCAATTCGACAAAGATTTCTTCACATTTCGTAAGACTTGGGATAATTAATACTAAGTATCTAAATACAAGATATTTAGTTTCTATTTTAATATAAAAGTCATTGATACGACGTCAGATACTGTACACCACGGCGTAACATTGTAATTGTTCATTTTAACACAAAATTGCGAAGATTTACACAATAAATACGCGCAAAGTTATTGAAAAAGTTATAATATTCGTGGAATCTTCTTAAAAATTTCAAGTTTTGTTCAGATTAATGTACGCTTCAATATAATTCTATATTCAAAAAGGTTGTGTCACGATATGTAGAATTAGGATCACCAGAAAGAAGACATTTCAAACATTTCCTGTTTTCTTCCTTGTTGCGCTTTTCGGACCTGTGCTTTCTTGTCGCACCGTCTTTCTAGACTCTTTCACAGATCCCCCTGCCATATTCAACTGATATACACAGACGGGGAAATATTAAGGATTGTTAAATGTATTATTTTTAATTTATTTTAATTTGGCTAATTAGTTTTATTTAGTTAAAGCAAATAATAAAAGAGGAGAACATATAATACGCTAACGGCGTAACGTCTTATTTTGCAAAGGCTTCACTTGGGGTTGCGGGTGATATAATAATGTCTTATCAAATATATACTGGTTCAAATTAAATAAAATTAAGTTGATGTAGTAAGGGGTATGATTAAAGGAGCATGTTGAAACATCGGAACGTTTTAAATTTTTATCGTTCGATTAGAGATATTTGAACTCAAAAAATGAAACGTAATTTTGTGAATTTTTCACATTGCTTCACTTCATATTTCTATGACTGGCATTGATTGCTTTGGAGATAATCTAGTTGACTGTTAATGCCTCTATCTGTTAAGCCCCAACTTTTTCTCGTCGCCATCAATTTAAAAACAAATTGGTAAATATGATCACCCTATCTCTATATTGTTCTTTAATTAAAATATGAAAATAAAGGATGAACCATTCAGATAACAGTTAGTCTCCAATAAGTCAGTTTATATAACATTACGACAATCTCATGTGTTAACTGAATACAGACGCTGAAGGGAGTTTACAAGACCAAGAATTACAAATCAAATTGATTATACCCTCATCTCCTTGTTTAAAATATGGTCTCTATAATATAATACAGCAAAATAACCGAAATCAAATCCTTGCTGTAGTGAAAAATGTTCACTATATACAGGTTCTACTGTATATGTATTTGTATACATCGTAATGTAAAAACTGGTAAAAAGACACTTTATAAAAGAAATAAGCTCAATTGAATTGCACTGAATAGAAAATAATCACCAAAACTTGGCTGAATCAAAAAATCATTGAGAAAAAGATTTCATTTTTCTTCAAAATTCCTGCAAGTTATCATTACATTTTTAGAACAGAAAATTGAAATTATTTCAACTTTTTTTAAAAGTGAAACATATCCATCAAACACTTCCATCAAACATTTGGACCAAATCTATCAACATTTATTTGAGATATCACTCGAACAAACGCACCGACATATGGATGGACAGTATGTGGGACAAGGAATGCTTGGATTGACATTTGGATAGTTTTGTTTACGTGCAATGATGTTGCTTCTTTCTGTACGGTATAGCAATGTTACAGTAACATTACACAATTCTTTCAATGATATAAGAGAAGGACATGACCTCGACACGTGAACAGTTTTGTTTCATAATATTTTAAACTTATGCAACAAGATGGCTATGATTCTGGTCACGGGATCTTTGGTTGTAGGAATAGTACTACTTCTCGGATTTGTATTGAGATGGAGAAAGATAGACATGCCTGGCCCAAAAGGCCATCCCATAGTTGGCAATGCACTGCAACTCAGTAAAAATGTACCATATGTCCAAATTCAAGAATGGTCAAAGGAATTCGGAAGTATCTTCAAACTTCAACTTTTTAGAGAGGAAGTCGTTGTTTGTAACGACTATGAATCGATTATGATGACAAAATCAGATGATTTTGCAGGACGACCAAAATCCTGGCGTTTCACTTATGCTTTACCTGGTGGTAATAACGGAATTGCCTTTCAAGATTTTACAAAATCGTTTAAAATAATGCTGAAACTTTCCTCTCGAGGACTACGACCATATGGCGCATCTAATCAAGCCAGAGATTTATTTAACAAACCGATCATGGAGTGCCTGACGGAGTTTCTGTCACACAATGGCGAGGCCTTCAACCCAAATTTGCATGTAGACCACGTTGTTGTTAAGTTTATATTGAAATTGGTAAGTAGGGACCGTCATGCCTTTTCATGAACTTGCTTCATTTAACTGATAATTTATTTTGTAGACCACGTTGTTGTTAAGTTAATATTAAAATTGGTAAGTAGGGAGACTAGGGACCGTCATGATTTTCATGAACTTGTTTCATTTAACTGATAATTTATTTTGTAGACCACGTTGTTGTTAAGTTAATATTGAAATTGGTAAGTAGGGACTGCCATCACTGACTAAGCCTGTTCATAATCTTGCTTCATTTTTCTGACAACTGGTCAATATTTTTTGCAAAGTCTCGGTGATATAATACAGTAGGCCATAGAACATCCAAAAAATTATTTTGCTATAATCAGTTTTGTAAGCCATTGAATTTAATTATATTTTTTCTAAAGTTGGAAGAGTTTATTATTATTATACAGTAGTTTCGACAATAAATAGGTGAATATTTGTAGAATTTTAATTTTTACATTGTGGCATTTGGGATTTAGCCCAATTCTTCAAAAAATCAAAATATCTTTGAATATCATAGTCCTTCTATACCAGTGCAGTAGTGCACATAGAATTCAAATATAAGCAAAATACTTGAAAAATCCTGAAAATCTCATTATAAAAATGCAACATCAGTGAGATTTCAATGCTACATATATATTGAAAGAATAAGAGGTGAGTGAGTATATCCAAAACCCATCACTATTTACATTGGTCCTGTAACTTTTAGATGCTAGGAGAACATGTCAAACTGACAGCTGGCGATTTCAGTGCTGTGGAAAAAATGCTACAGAGAGTAAAGCATATGGCACAGGGGAGTGGTGAAGAATTGGAACTGTTTCCCTGGCTACGTCATTTTGGTCTGAAGTCTTATAGAGATCTAATGGAGTTGAACAAAATTGGGAATGATGCTATTAACTCATGGATCGACCGATATAGACTCAAGGTATACTCAGAGGTCATATAACTATGACATGAAATATGTCCAAGTTAGGCCGACCTTGACATCCCCTGTATATTTACAAGAATGAATCCATATATAACACTTCATAGTTTTACAACTAAAGTCTAAGTCAATGCATTAGATATTAGCATTTCCGCTATAATTTGCATTAAAAATTGGGATATCCTTGGGATGCCCTGTATATTTGGAAGAAAGGAGGCATATTTAACATTTCATAGCTACATAACTTTTTTCCTCGAGATAGTTAATGCTAGTTTACATGGTTTATGAGTTTTGGTTTATCAATTTATATTTATTCTTCAACATATATTGTTCTGACTTCTGTATGACTGAAATGTCCCTTGATGTTATGGTCCTTGATTTTGATAATGGAACTTCATTGATGGGGAGCCTGCATTGGACATTGTTTCTCACATTCATGTGAGACTCTCATAAAAAATTTAGTTCAACCTTAGGATACTCTGTACATGTGCAAGAACAATGGCATATCACAGTTTATGTCAATGGCACTACACATCTATGTAAGACTTCCATACAAAAGTTAGGTCGACCCTGGGATACTCTGTATATGTACAAGAACAAAGCCATATCACAGTTTATGTCAATGGCATTACACTTCTATGTAAGACTCCCATACAAAAGTTAGTTCAACCTTCGGATACTCTGTACATGTACAAGAACAAAGGCATATTACAGTTTATGTCAATGGCATTACACTTCTATGTAAGACTCCCATACAAAAGTTAGTTCAACCTTCGGATAATCTGTACATGTACAAGAACAAAGCCATATCACAGTTTATGTCAATGGCATTACACTTCTATGTAAGACTCCCATACAAAAGTTAGTTCAACCTTCGGATACTCTGTACATGTACAAGAACAAAGCCATATCACAGTTTATGTCAATGGCATTACACTTCTATGTAAGACTCCCATACAAAAGTTAGTTCAACCTTCGGATACTCTGTACATGTACAAGAACAAAGGCATGTTACAGTTTATGTCAATTGCATTACACATCTATGTGAGACTCCCATACAAAAGTTCGGTCGACCTTGGGATACTCTGCACATGTGCAAGAACAAAAGCATATTACAGTTTATGTCAATGGCATTACACATCTATGTAAGACTCCCACGAACTCCCATGCAGTGTCTCGGTATAGACACTGCGGCGGGCAGATGAAGAAAAATCCCAAAAATTTGGGGAAAATAGTTCCCCTTTTCATCATATATATGTGGTCAATTTTTACACAACTTCATGAATGTTCCCCAAACATTATTTTGTCAAATTATTTCAAAATTATTGAAATATGAGAAGAAATCACCGCGGAAGGAATTCTGAGTCAAAGTTGTGTTGATAATAGTTTACCGCACGTGTTGTTTATAAGTTAATACGCGAAATTCAACCAATGAAATTGTCTAAATTTTACAATCATGCGACCTGAGCATGGAACTAGAACCAATCATGTCAGTTGTTTATTACGAACTCCCGTGCAGTGATATATCACTGCACGGGAGTTCGAGACTCCCATACAAAAGTTAGGTCGACCTTCGGATACTCTGTACATGTACAAGAACAAAGGCATATTACAGTTTATGTCAATGGCATTACAATCTCCCATACAAATGTTTCCTTAAATAGTAATTGAGGCTGATGTCTAACAATGAACAAATGCGATTCAAAAATGTGAATTACTTCATATGGTTCTTGGCTCTTTTGCACATATACAAGTCTAACTATATGTATTACTATCTAGTGGAAACAGCGAATATGACAGAGTACATTTAGGAATGTTGTTCATGATATGTTTTAGATGGAGGAGTTAAATCTTCCTGATGAAGACCTTGAAAGACCAGCAACATTTTTAGCCGTATTACTGAGAGCATATGATGATGGGCAAATAGATATGGATAACATCAAAAGCACAATATTCGAAATCGTTGTTGGAGGTAAAATTAAATGAGTCTCTGTCTCATTAGGAGAGGAGAAACTCCAGAATTGGTCGGGGTGGGTTGGTGGGAGAGCAAAATGGCTGCAGTGTAATTTACCCAGCATGCCCAATGTAAGTGAATTTTTTTCTCACTTACAGAAACTATGCCGTTGATTTAATTTCAAATTATATTAAATCGGATCATCTCATTGGTTTATACAAAAAGAAGGAGAGCAATTTAATTTCAAATTATATTAAATCGGATCATCTCATTGGTTTATACAAAAAGAAGGAGAGCAATTTAATTTCAAATTATATTAAATCGGATCATCTCATTGGTTTATACAAAAAGAAGGAGAGCAATTTAATTTCAAATTATATTAAATCGGATCATCTCATTGGTTTATACAAAAAGAAGGAGAGCAATTTAATTTCAAATTATATTAAATCGGATCATCTCATTGGTTTATACAAAAAGAAGGAGAGCAATTTAATTTCAAATTATTTTAAATCGGATCATCTCATTGGTTTATACAAAAAGAAGGAAAGCAATTTAATTTCAAATTATTTTAAATCGGATCATCTTATTGGTATATACTAAAAGAAGGAGAGCAAGCATTGATGCACTTCACTCGAAGATGTTTATATCACGAAGATGGCCGAACTGCTTTAAGGAACCAATCAAATTCCTTGAAGTGTAAGGGTTAGATCTTCAGCCATCTTCGGTTGTAGTACTTAAGCAAGTTCGGCCATCTCCGTTTGAAGATGTTGATTTCACGAAGATGGCCGAAGATACTCAAGCAACCAAATTCCTTGAAGGGTTAAGGCTACATTTTCAGCCATCTTAGGTAGCGGTCGAATATATAAAAAACAAGATGTTCATCATCTGCTTCAGGTACTGTGACTGTCAAATCACACATTGAATCATTGATTCTGTTAATGTTAAACTACCCAGAAGTCCAAGAGAGAGTAATTGCAGAGATACAAGATGCAATCCCTGAAGACCGATCTCCAACTCTTGCCAATCGTGAAAAGCTACCATACACGGAAGCAACGGTTTTAGAGGCGGTTAGATTCTTGACTGTTTCTCCTTTAGGGGTACCACATAAAACTACACGTGATACGACTCTAGGGCCATATAATATACCTAAAGATACGCAGGTAACTTGCTATGTTTTACATTAATATTCATCCGCATTCATATGTTTATTATGTGTTAACATGTATTTACAAATAGATTTATTACTTCAATCACGAATGCCTTCACATGAAAACACATATAAAGTATGGTCAACTGGGTTTTAGGTCCCCTTTTATCTGTATCTTCTATGTGTATTGTTACTGTATATGACGCGTACTGGCACTAAACCAATGTCGATAGGTTAAAACTAGCAGTTTATGAGACGGATCATATTACATATGATAAGGATCAAAATAACCCTCACATCAATTTATTCTTGATTTTATATGCTTGGCCTTTGAGAATTAACGATTTCCTCTTAAAGGTTTGGACAAATTTATGGGGAGCGCACCATGATCCTCGCTATTTTCCCGACCCAAATACCTTCAATCCAGATAGATTTTTGGACAGTGAAGGAAAGACCTACAATAGAGCAGATGTCAAATCGTAAGAATTAGCGCTTTTGAATCTAAAGGAAATATCGGGTGTCCCAAACAAATGAGACACTTTTTGACAAGTATTTTCTCGGCAACTGATGAACCAAATTTACTGAAAATTCAAGAGTACTTGTCAAAAAGTGTCTCAGGTTTTGAGACACCCGATTGATATGTGAACTTGACTATCTGAACACTTTAGGCCAGTCCAATTGTGGTCAGATTGGACGTGTTGATCGTACATGGAAGTTCCACCATTCAAAATCTAAATAAACATTTGATATATAAGGTCTGATAAAGTCACTGTATATTTTTATGTCCACATTTAAAATTGTAGATTTTTGCCCTTCGGTGTTGGGAAAAGGACATGCTTGGGTGAGAAGATAGCTATCCCCAGGATTTTCTTGTTTTTCTCGAATATGCTGCACAGAATGAGGTTGATTCCTGCAGATGGGAAAAATATTCCATCGTGTGACCTGAAAAACTTCATGACTGCTATCACTTATCAACCGCCGCCATTTTACATGAAAGTAGAACCACTTAGAACCCAGATAAACATAGGCAGAAGATCAGTATGAAATACCAGGTCGTTCAATAAGTTCATGGAAAAATGCTTTCAAGATTTTTAATATTTTCTCATGAAATTTTCACACATTGTATAGAATTACTTTCTTATTGATTCTTGAAATATCAGCATCTCTAATTTGATTAGTCAAAAATAAGGGTTACTATGGTAACTTGGTATGGTACTATGGTGACTTTTGGGTAGGCGGGGCCTATATATATTATATCACTATCATATTCCTCATTCTCTGATTGGTCCATGTCCAAAACGTGACTAAAATATAACAAGCAATATGCTTCAGTTGAATTGGACCTATCAAAAAATATTCACCAGTCACAACTTAGTCCAGTGTATATCCCCAGAAGTACATTTTATGATTAATTAGACATCTATAGTTTGTTATTCCATTAATGTGAGTGAGGATTAAAAAATGAATAATAAAACAAATATATAATTCTATTTTCGGTGAATACCTGTGACTCTAGCCAATCGGTAATAGCGAATTAAATATTTGTATAATATACACTGTATATGTATATGTATTACATACCTAGCGAAGAATTACAAGCTCAGGCTATATTGATGACATACCTCGGGCATACGTATTTTCAATGGCAGGGATATAACTGCTAAATATAATTTTCTAATATAATTATGAAACTAAGGTTACGATTGTTAGTTATGAGTTATAGTTGCTATGGTGACATGACATCAAAATGTACTGTAAATTTTGGAACACCCTGTATGGACAATTAGATGAACTGATGTACTATGTACGTGTGAACTGAATGGACAGATGAACTTGTGGGCCATGTGAGCAAAAAATTGTGTCAAATAACAAAACGATGTTTTACTGTACACAATGATTATCAATTATCATGATATACATGCTTGTATTTACAAAATATAAAGTCTCTGCCTTTTCACCATACATTCAACTACAATAAGCAAAGATAGCATTTAGAATAGAAAACCAGGAATTCACAATTATGTAGTTAACCACTTAGGCTTGGAAAACTAAAATCAAATTAACTTCGATAAATGGTGATTGTAACGGAGGCCATTTTACTGGGAATTAGAAAATGAAGTTCATTTTTGGAATTAAGCAATATTAGTCTAGAAGATATAAATAGGATATTTCAAATCGAGGGGCAAATTGTGATTAATAAAAATAGCCTCTAAACCTGATAAGATAAATTCACATCAAACACTGTGTAATCTAAAAGGGAATGGCATTCAAATTGAATGACATTTTCCTATTGAATTGCATTCTCAAGTTGAATGGCATTCTCACATTGAAAAGAACTCAATTTGAATGCCATTTTCCTATTGAGTGGCATTCTCAAATTGAATGCCATTTTCACATTGACATAATAGAGGCAAGATTGATTTTGGACTAAAATAAACAATATATACAGTTTAGGTTTTCAATAATTACAGCGTTATGTTCAATATTTCAAAATCATCACCACTCCTCTATTTAGATTTTCTTCCATATTTCAAACGACATTGAATTCTGAAACTAGCTCTAACTACAAGATTGTATCCCCATCTTAATGTTTTTTCTATCCGGATATATATCCAGTACAACATCAACATTTCTTAATCACTGCACTCTTCCAAATTCAGAACATTTTTAGTATTGCACAGTACACTTGTAGTATTGACAGATGTATTTGTAATATTAATAGGTGCACTTGCCATATTTACAGGTTCACTTGTAATGAACATGCGCACTTGTACTACTTTCAGGTGCACTTAGTATTTACACTACACGTGCGCTTGAATTTTGACTATTTATTACATGTGCACATTTTTTATAAAGAACATATGTATGAGATTGAGAGTGCTTGTAAATACAGGAAAAATTATGTCACATGGACCAATCAGATTGCAGGGAATTTCACCATCATGGAATAAATAATGATATTCCTGTTAATATATATTTTATAAATTTTGAGATTCACTGCACTATTTATCAAGCTATTTTTATTTTCTCTTTCATCTGTCAGCAACCGTATTATCCTACTATTTTATGACCAACTCATTTAAACATGAATGGAATAGTGGAAGGTACTATTCATTTTAAATAAGTTACCCATAAAATAGTAGGTTAATCTAGTAGCCGAAAGTTGCATTTAGCAAATACAAGCTTAGTCATTTTAAAGATTTTGCTATCAATGCTGCTATTCAAGAAATAGTATATATTAAAATTCACAATTCAACTTTCTGTATTTTAGGAATCTACTGACATTATTTGTAGAAACAAATCTTGCATATGACTCAAGACCAAATTAAAACAAAGTACAAGCCATCAACAAGGCAACACCTGCAATTTGTCAAAGACCCCATAATTTGTTACAGACGCCACGTTACAGATGCCACATTTCAGATGCCTTACACCATCCACAAAAAGATGGAGACTTAAAAATTTGTCGCCAGTTCTGGTAGAGACATAAAAATAGATTTAAAATTCAAGAAAAAATAATTTGGAACAAAAGACATTTTACTTACTAGTATTACATTTATAAACAGAAGAGTTTAGAGAAAATAATATAATCAGTTTATGCTACATGGTATGTCATTTCGCGTTTTGAAGCATTTGCTTAAAAATTATTGAAGTAATTTTTTCAACCATATAAGTATTAATGTGGTAATCACTAGTATTAATCTTCAAGGCCCTATGCAAAGTTTAAAAATATTATATTTTAATCATTCAAATACTACTTTTCATTAATTGTTTTGAAGAAATAAGAAATGATTAAATAAATTAAAGTTACTCAGATAAATATACTGAAAACTAAACTACACAACATTGTATAAAAAGAACCCCTTAAGTTTGCCAACAAAGGATATTGATAAAAATTACATTCAGTAAGCGGTGACGTGTCTAAGTTTATCTAATGCTATTTATCAATAATATGCATTGAGATGGAATATTCAAACTGGTAGCATATAAAAGTATATCTACAAATCTGATTTAGAGGACAATGAAAAATAAAGCTCAAAGAGATTAGAATAGATGAGATTATTTTCCAAGAATATATAGCCTACTGATTCAAATCTCAGCAACGAAATCATGAAAGTCCAAAAAGCATTTTTAAAGAAAATGATTGGCCTGGTTCTTTGTGTGGTAGTTGTAGCACTAATGTATATCTTGGTATCTAATGGAAAATATATAAAGGCTAGCATCAAGTTGGAGGAAATATGGGGATCAACATTTTCAAAGAATTCTACACAATTTAAAGATATACATGGAACAACATCTTCGGAGAATTTGATGAAAGATAATGTTACATTGAATGATGAAAGCAGAGGACATCATCCACTAAACAGTATATATTTTTTGAAAATTCATAAAACTGGAAGCAGTACACTACAGAGCATTTTGATGAGATATGGAGACATAAAAAATTTATCATTTGCATTAGACGAAAAAAGTAACCAATTACACTATCCTCAACTTTTCAAGAAAAACTTTCCTATGAAGTTGAAGGCTCCCTATTCAAGATACGATATCATCTGCCACCACCTTAGGCACAGTGATGAAGTATTTGATGTGCTCAAACCAGAAGGGAAGGCAATTACAATTTTACGAGATCCAACATATAATTTTATTTCTGCATTCAAATATATTGACTATTGGAGTAAGAAATGCTTCCGAACACAAAACATTGACACATTTCTTTCAACTATAGAAAGTTCAACCTACAAACTAACTAAATCAAAGAAATGTGCAAATAGACAGTTATATGACCTGGGCATGGAACCAACGGATGCTAAAAATGTTATTAAGGTTCAGAAGAAAATTCAGGAAATGGACAGAACGTTTGACCTAGTGATGATATCAGAATACTTCAATGAAGGTCTAATATTGTTAAAACACCTAATGAACTGGTCATTCGATGACATTGTTTATTTCAGTAAAAATGTCCAAGCTAATAAAACAACTGGAATAGATGTGACATACCCAAAAGCATATCGGAAAATCAGAGAACTCAACATGGGTGATGAAATTCTATATCAGTACTACAACAAAACATTTTGGAATATCATCAATAATTTTGGGAGGGAGAGAATGAATACAGAATTATCAAAATTCAACCAAGTAAGAGACAAAATACAAAGGTACTGTATTGGGGAAGAGGTCAACGGAACAAACAAAAAGTTAGACCAGTATAATAAACCAACTTGGGTGCCTCATAAGGTGAATGCCTACCTTCTATCAAAGGAAGGCAAGGATAATGCAACATGTAGACAACTGGTAACTTATGAAATCGCGTACACTGACTATTTGAGGCAAAAAATGAATTCACTTGGATATGTATGAAGGACCACAAAAAGCAAAGTGTAATCAACTGGTAACTTATGAAATCAAGTACACAAACTATTTGAGGCAAAAAATGAAATCACTTGGATATCTATGAAGGACCACAAAAAGCAACATGTAATCAACTGGTTACTTAAGAAATCAACTACACAAACTATTTGAGGCAAAAAATGAAATCACTTGGATATGTATGAAGGACCACAAAAAGCAACATGTAATCAACTGGTTGCTTATGAAATCACGTACACAAACTATTTGAGGCAAAAAATGAAATCACTTGGATATGTATGAAGGACCACAAAAAGCAACATGTAATCAACTGGTTACTTATGAAATCAAGTACACAAACTATTTGAGGCAAAAAATGAAATCACTTGGATATGTATGTAGGACCACAAAAAGCAACATGTAATCAACTGGTTACTTATGAAATCAAGTACACAAACTATTTGAGGCAAAAAAATGAAATCACTTGGATATGTATGTAGGACCACAAAAAGCAACATGTAATCAACTGGTTACTTATGAAATCAAGTACACAAACTATTTAGGCAAAAAATGAAATCACTTGGATATGTATGAAAGACCACAAAAAGCAACATGTAATCAACTGGTAACTTATGAAATCGCGTACATAGACTATTTGAGGCAAAAAATGAAATCACTTGGATATGTATGAAGGA